TCACGTCGGATTGTTTGCAGTCTGTTTTCAGATAGCCATCAGTCGCTGCTTTCCGCTCTTTCAGGCGGCACAAAGACCTTATCGTGGATTCTTCTCTGCGAGACGCTGCGAGACGAGACTCTTCCAGTCTTGGAAGTTTGTCAAGAGTCCAAGGCCCGTAGAAAACAAGCATCGCACATGAAATCGCTGTAATATCTGAGGTGTTGAGTTGCTTTCTTGACAACAAGTCTCCTGTGATGTCAGATGTGTGTTCTGCAGAGAACCAAACGGGTCTCAATATTAATGCTCAGATTTGCAGAAATCTCAATATGAAACATTTCTCATCAAAGATCCGAGCTGCAACACTTATTAAACACTTAAAACATTAGGATTTACTTGTGAAACTCAGAAATCACTAGTAAGTTGCACAAGTAATCATAAAGAAACGGCAAGTTACACATTGTGAAAGACTGAAATAGTATTTCTTGTAAAATGTATTCCAGTAATCTTTGTTTTATTTACAACTTTGCAGAAATAATTTATAGTGTATGCGTTCTCCTCAGATGTTTTTCTCTTGTAATGTCAGACGTCTTCTGCAGAGATTCAAAAGTGTCTCAGTTTGTGCTCAGATTTGTCTGAAATCTCAATATCAACTCAAACATCTTTCATCAAAGATTTAAGCTGCGGCATTGAAAAAAATAACTTTGAAACTTTTGAAACTTCTCTCAGACGTTGCTATTAAATTTCTCACAAAGAAATGGCAAGTAACATAAACATGTGATAACTTACTCCAATAATCAGTTTTATTTACAACTAAAAATCTATAAAAAACAAACAAACAAAGCATTTTTTACAGTGTATCTATGTTCATTTTAAAACGCTGTTACTGTATGACAACTAGTGACTCATTTGTGTCTATTTTTATGTCTTTTAAAAACCTTGATGCTTAGATGAAGCATAACTTACACCATCAAAGAGAAACCTCTGGGCGATAACATGCACCTCTGGGGGCGGATGGTAATGTGTGTGTGTGTGTGTGTGTGTGTGTGTGTGTGTGTGTGAGTGTGAGTGTGTGTGTGTGTGTGTGTGTGTGTGTGTGTCTTTAGACACTGTTGGTCTAGTGTGTGTAGGCTGGTCTGTGTTCTGCTGTACTCTTGCGAGTCGTCAGTAACACGTTGTATAAATGAAACACTTTTTTTCACATGGACCAGAATGAAGTGTGTCTTCCCCTCCCTCCTGTCTGTTGACTCGTTTCAATAGCTGCATGTCTCTCACACATTGGTGTGTCTCCTGCTTGCGTCACGACGAGTGTGTGTGCAGATAAAGGCAAAACAAACAAACAAAAAAAAGCACTTTAAGGAACTGAATTCAAAGAGTATTTTTGTCAAGTGGCAATACTGATTGTTGTGTAATTGCTTTGCATTATCTAAATGAGTGCAAACCAGTGGAAACATAGTATCATTAGTATACTATGATCGTTTTTGTTAATATTTAGAATTTTTATATTTTATTTTTATTTAAAGTTTTGTCTTTTTTTATTAGTTCTTAATATTTTTAAACATGTCTATAGGTTTAAGTTGTAGTTTTTTTTTTTAGTTTAGTTTATTTTGTTTTAGTTATTTTAGTACTAAACTAAAATGAGAAATGTTGCCTTGCCAACTAGCTGACATATTTAATTTAATTTAATTAATTTTTGTATTTAATTTAATTTAATTTAATTTAATTTAATTTTATTTTATTTTATTTTATTTTATTTTATTTAGTTTAGTTTAGTTTAGTTTAGTTTAGTTTAGTTTAGTTTAGTTTAGTTAAACAAACATTTGAAATATTGCCCTGGCAACTAGCTGAATTTTAATTTTGTTATATTTATATTATTTTTTAATTGTATTTAATTTTATATTTAATTTTATTTTATTATCAACAAGTTTGAAATGTTTTGTTATGGTTTTCGTTTAATTTTAGTTAACAATAATAACCCTGATGCAAACTATAAACATCATTACATCACATGCGCTGTGTAGAATAAGCCAGTTGAGATTATAGTGTGTGTGTGTGTGAGAGAGAGAGAGAGAGAGAGAGAGAGAGAGAGAGAGAGAGAGAGAGTGTGTGTGTGAGTGTGAGTGTGTGTGTGTGTGTGAGAGAGAGAGAGAGAGAGAGAGAGAGAGAGAGAGTGTGTGTGTGTGTGTGAGTGTGTGTGTGTGAGAGAGTGAGTGCGTGTGTGTGTGTGTGTGTGTGTGTGTGTGTATTGTAATTGTGTCTCAGGGTGGAGATGCTGTTGACCTCAGATGTGGGTTAAATGCAGATTGAATGAGAATCAGGCAGTGATAATTATGGTGGAGTGACCAGGGGTCAGTCGAGCAAAAGAGCCTGCAGCGAGACGCTCTCCTCCTGCTCTCTGTCTGTCTGCTGACCCGCTCTATCTACACACCTAAACACTGCTTTAGGTAAAACTACCTTTATCTACCTTTCTACCTTTACTCAAATCATGTGTGTTGTTGAGGAGAGTGTGCAGATACTTTGCCAAGCGATCAGACACACCATTTTCACCTGCAGGATCATAAAACATGAACAAATCTCACAGATGCACATTGAAGGAGAGACTCGAGCCATATAGAGACCAGAAGAAATCACGCCAGACAGGAAGAAAACACCCTTGCAACTATCCAAAACACCATAGCAACCACTTAGCAACGCCCTAGTAACCACTCAGAACATCCTAGCAACCACTTACTGTAGCAACACTGTGACAATCACCCAGATGATTCAAGTGTCATAGTATTGAGTTATGTGCAGGCTAGAATCACGCTCATGTTAAAGTCTAGTTAGAAACAGACTTTCTCTCTCTGGATCAGAGCTTTAATGTCCGTCAGTGTTTATTTCACATCTTAAATGTCATCTGGCTGTGAGATCTCTCTGTGAGCGTTTACAAAGGATATATAGATAACACCAAATTAATCAATACCCTCTTTCTCTCTCTTTCTCTGGCACTGCGGCTCGGCCGTGGATCCGTCCTCTTCAAATCAACAGCAGGTAAGCTGATTTTAATATTTATCAGCTTCCTTTGTATGCACACAAACACAATGCAGGTGCAGCGGAGCTCATGAGTTTGTCCTGTAATTTTTAACACACAGTGGATAAAAGCTTTCGGCAAATGCATGAGTGTAAATGCATGACAGTTATAGTGATATCCACACACACAGGTCGTGTTTTTATATGTGCGTGTCTATATTCGGCCGTGTCGAATACCTCACACTTAATTACTATTTCATTTACTATCCTCTTTTATCGCTCCTCTAAATAATTTCCGCAAATAAGAGGGTTTCGGGCTCCTGCATGCGACGGCATCTCAGCTTCCACCCATCAAAGTTTAATTGAAGCCGCGTTTTAGTTTTTGAATAAAGAACACTTAAAAAATTTAGATGCAAATTATTCTGCATTATTCATGCTCTCGTCGTCCTTGTAGATTTAAACATTTGTGAGGCCACCTTGATTTGAGTCATTACCTCGACTCGGGCTGTTCCGTCATGAATAAGGTATTTCCTACAAGTGCAGCACTCACCCGATGAGCTTTTAAAGTGCCTTTACACTCCGTCTGCGCAGCGCGAATGAGCGAATCGAGTGAAATCCGTCTCAGGTGGCGGATCCTGACAGGAGAGAGAGACTCTTTTCTCTGCGAAGTCTCGGATCGCTCCGCTCTTTGGGAACGCGACCAACTTTACCTGAAAGCCAGAAGAGATCCTCAGAAATAAGGCAGCTTTGTTTGAGAATCCTGCTCAATTTGTGCTCCGTTTGTAGCGATGAGGGGTGAACAGCCCTCGAGAGGCACATCTGAACACCTGGGAGAGAGACAGACAGTTCTTTTTAATTACTCGACACGGATTGTCGCTGCTCTTGCGATCCCAGATTATTGACTGTTACCTGTATGGACTGACATGTGGGATCAATTGTAATTTGCTTTAGCGTTTCTTCAGATGTGGCTCGAGGATTCTTGAACACACACAAACACACTCACACACACACACACACACACACAGAGGTTTTTAGCGAGGTGCAGAAGATGAAGCGGTGATGATATGATTTGAAACATCCTGGCTCTTAGCATCACTTAAATCTACCTCGCAAGAACAAACTGGAGTCTTTAAATTATTCCTTTTCATCTGCACGCAAACAGCCATAAAGTGATGAAATCTGCGGATCCCAGAAGCTTTTACTCTTAAAGTCTAAAGCGCTGCCCAAATCTGCTGTAATGAAACCGTTGTTTGTTTGTTTGTTTGCCGAGAGAGAAAACCTGA